TAGAAATAAATGAACAAATCAATAAATGCTCGATCTGGAGTAGTATTACGTTTGTAAAGTACGACCAGTTTCGAGTTCTTCATCGGGTACATTCAAAGTCATTAAAATCGCGACTAAGAGTGTCTAGATTCTCGATTTTATTGACTTTTAATTCGAAACCGATCGTGCTTTACAAGTGTAATAATAATGCTCCGGGCTAAGCATTTATTCATTTCCATACGTAAACTATTTGTTGATCTATGTATGTATTGAAAATGCAGTGTTCATCGTTATATTTTCGTCCTTACAAAACACATAAGCCATTATTTAAGCTTTTAAATAAAGATTATTTTTCCGGCCATATCTCTTGCACTATTCGATCATTGCCATTCGTTGGTCACAATGTGCAGCGCGACATTATCCGTAGATAAACGCATGATAATTTACCTAAATTGCAAGTTCGGCGGCAGCGGTCGTCGCGGGGTCGTCAGCCGTTTTTGTTATGGGTTTGTGATGAACGAGTTGACGTGGTGACAACGACAGCCGCCACTACCGCTACCACTAACCATCGTCAACCCGAGCCCGACCGGATCGACGACATTAGTGTTATAACCGTTCGGACTTCAAAAAAAAAAAACCTCGTTTTCGTTTCGTTTCGGCGGAAGCGAACGCAATAATGCCCGCGATACGACAATGGCGCCGAACGGCGAAACGAGGTCCGGCCGAGGACGGTTGTTATTACGAGTTTGGCCGCGACGGTTTTCCATTTTAATAGCGGACGAACGGTGAACAGTTAGAGCTATACATGGTGCACATAAACAAAACCGAATGCCCGTACACTCTCCCCCCGCTGACATTTTCTTTTTCATTTTTCTAATGGCCACTGGCCGTTATTCATTAAATAGGGTGAATTCGGTAAATTACTAAAATAAATAATATTTACTATCGCAACGGACGCTGGTCGGATTGTTGAAAAAATCGTTTTCGTTCGTAGGAATCAAGGTTCGAAATAAATCAATAGCTTTTTTTTCCCCGTACGCCACGACGACGCATTATGATAATACGCATCGCAATCTATTATTATTATTATTATTGTAAACGCTCTTGAACACTTTCTCGTGGGATTACAGACTGGCGCGTGCATTTTGTGTATACGCAATACGAAATTGGCTTTCCATGTAATCGGGTTAAACCCGAATAAAATAATTATTAATTATACACTATTATTTTTTAATAGTTACAGTTGACACGGTTGTGTAATAAATATTTTTCCTCGGCTGTCGCACGTCGTACTCTGTGATATTAGGAAAACAATATAGTTGACAGAAACAAAAAAAAAAAAAAAAACAATTACTCCGCATGATGTAAATGTTAATTAAAATCGCTTTTAACTTTTTGTATACGTATATATAGCGTGGTGATGAATACAATAATTTTTGAATTATTCAACGAATCCGATGATTTAACATTGGTTTTAATTTAAACGGGCGTGGCCGTACGGAATATAAATTATACGAATTATACGCACAAAAACATATTTAAGATTTAACAATCGAGAAGACGATCAATTAAAACGAAACAACCAGTTCCGTAATGAATAATACTTTTACACATTCGAATGTTTTTACAGCGTTTCATTTATTCTACCGCATTTGGATACAATATTTTGCCCACGTCATGAATAACGAAAATAAAAACAAAAATGTGTTCCATAAGTTTTCCTAGAGACAAATTCCCGGAATGTGCACATATGCAAGTATTAACAACAAGAAAGCGCGAAAAAGTTACATTACGTTTTTTCTGCAAGTTAACATTTCAGAATGACGTCGTAAATCGATCGATCAAACACTTCTTAATCTCGAAAAAAGAAAACATTGTTTCTAACGTAAACAAAATGATATTTCAAAACAGCAGTCGCTTTTGTAAATATTTTTCGGAAATCATCATTTAATTATGTGTGTACTTTTGTCGGTATTTACTATTTTTAAATTAAAATGAATAGTTTACGATGTAATCTAAATACTTTTGATGTCGCATACATCGTATGTTAAATAATTTATACTCGGGGTGTGACATCGTACAGACGGGAATGAAAAAAAAAAATCAAATATTCATATTCAAAAATAATTTTTTTTCAGATTACAATTCCACTCGTTACTTTCAAAACATTGATGTGACATGAATATCATATCATATCGATCGGACTCAACAATTTCCTTTACGAATAGTAGGTATATGCAATAAGAATAAAGGAAAACAAATTATACAAGATCAAAAATGTATACATTTCATTTTAGATACAAGTTCGTTGGATTAATGGCTTAAGCGTGATTCACGCAGTTACGGCACGACACGGACCGTCACATCACATTACGGTACGACTAAACACAAAATTATTAGTTTATATGAAATAATACACCTTTATCTGAAAGAATGTTTGGTCGATCCGGTCCGTGTCGGCGCAGTGTGAACCCTTAAATTGAAAAACTGTAATATTGAATCACAATGTCTAAATAGCGAACTATATCTATGATACGGCGATATGATTAGGGACTTTTTATCAACTATAAATTAACAATATTTATATTATAGTTTTGCATATTTTTAAAATTTAAAAGTCACTAAAAATCGTATAGTAAAAATATGTCTGCGGTCCCTTGCGAGTCGTGATCGATAGCATAAATGATGAGGATTAGCTGCTTGGTGAGCCACCGAAGTATTTTTAAACAGTTAACCTTCAGTAATAGTTTATTAATAATATAATAAATTAACTATTATAATCCTCCAGTTGGTGATATAGAGTTGCGAATTCACTTTCACTTTTTCTTTTTTTTTAAAAAATATTGTTTAAATTTTGTGGATCCAAATTGTTCTTTTATGTTTGGAATTTTTTTGAACATGTTTCGAACATTATGTTTCGAATTTTTTTCTTCTTCTTTATTTATTAAAACTGCTATAATCAGACATCGAAAAATTACGAGACATTACAAATTTTTCATTATACTAATGAACACTGAACTGGAAAGAAAGAACGACCAGCTGCGTATGCGATCTAATATTTAATTATTTATTCGAAATGCTAGTGGTTGACGTTATTTGATAATGGATGCCTGTGAAAAGTGAATAAAATAACAGTTTGTCGTGCCATAACGTGCTGTAACGGTCCATGGCGTTCCGTCACAGGGTGAATCGCACATTGTCCGGTTAAATATTATTCTGAGAATAACTTAATCAAATTCATATCCGTTTAAGACGTACATTGTGTTTCCGGATTATCGAAGATTTTCGTTTTACTGCGTGTTATGTATTTAAACTTAAACACTGAGATTTCTTCCATACCTATATATTCGAGTTCTGACTTATATTGACTCTATATAAACCTATAGATATACAAGTCATATAAATATATCGGTTTTAATTAAAGAAAACGAATGCCATGGCTTTTACAAAGTTTGTACGATGAGTGTAGTAAACATTGTATTCGTATTACTGACTGATTAAAAAAATTACATTCGTTTCCCACACCTGCAAGCTAATTGATTCAACCGAATGTAAAAAACTCTGTTAAGATAAAATATGAATATAAGCCAACCTGTAACAAAATATTTAAATTTATCTATCCTGCAAGTAAATATAATTTAAATAATGGCCTTGGCGGCCAAAATTGTAACACGTCCAATTAAAAAAAATCCATGACATGAATGTCATAGACAAAAAAGCACTTCAAAATTGAAACGCAAGGCATTTTTCGTAAAACTAATTTACAAAGTGTAAACTGTTCGTCAACCTTTGTTTGTATATATATCAATGGTAAAGTTAGTTCTTAAACCATAGTTCGGTACGGGTAAATGATATATAAGAGTATAAAATAACCACCAGGAAAATGAGGACAAATGCTAACATAATATTTATTTATTTATCTATAAGAATAAATTTAACGGAAAAATTTCCTATAAGAGACTATGTTAACTGCCACTTACTTTTTCTATGCATTGTCCAGGAGGCCATGTGTACATTTTTGTGTACAAGTCATAAATTGCCAAACTTGTTTTCATGTACATTATCGTGTCTTTTTAAATTACAAAACAAATAAAAACAGCGAGAGTAAAAAATTGATTTTGAAAAATAGTCTTGTTTTTATGTTTTAGCAAACATAAGCTATACACGAACTGCAATTTTACCACGTTAAAAACAATGTATACGTGATAATCAACGTGTTAACAATAAAAACAACAGAGTTTTTAAGAGTTAAAAAATGTACAGAAAATAAATCACATAAATATAATGTGATGATAATAATAATAATAATATTAACGATTCAAAACGACATTTATTGAACACTCATGTTTTCGAGAAAAGTTTAAGCGTTAGCTTTAAAAATCGGACGAAACATGGTTAAAATATCAAAGGGTCGTAGAAATCGAATTGACCAGTGGAGGAGCAACAGCAACAGTGTTTGGATGTACAAAACGAAACTTTGGACGCGTGTACTTTCGAGGTATACGGAAATCGGTTCGAACCGGTAATATCTCGGGACGGATAACGAGAACGTTTGGCACATCGAAAACGAACGTCGTACCGTTCGATACTCACATTCTGCTCAGGGGGTCTATTCTCAAACGTATCGAACCACGCTTTCGATCAATAGTTGATCGAAAACAACTTTGATTTCGATTGATAACAAAAATACAATTCTCAAACCGCTTTCGATCATTAGTTCGATAGGAATATTCGACAATATACAACGATAGTGAATTTGGTGTCGAAAACTGTTTTCGACACACAATTTTCATTGTAATCAACTAATTTATCAGTTTTTTCAATTTATTGTTCGTACTTGTATCGTATTTAGTACTATAATCTATAATTAATAATTAAAAGAGTATAGTTCGCGAACGAGAATGAATGTTTAAATATTTAACATGGCATTTGATGACGATTTTGAGATTTACAATATAATGCAAATTAATGAATTAGAAATTCAAAACGAAATTAATATTACTAATGAAGTAAGACGAGTTATGAAACAAGAAGATCCTTTTGGTAAGTTTTTATTTTATATATATATATATATATATATATTTAGTTATAAACAAATATATAATTGCTTTCCAAAAATTATTTTTGATAATATTCTGGATATGGGATTCTGGATATGGTTTGAGACCGTGGTTATTGACACCAATCAACGACCATCTACCGAATAGCCCAGAAGCTAGGTATAATAATTGGTTATATAAAACCAGGTCAATTATAGAACGGTGTAATGGTGTACTTAAGATGAGATTTAGGTATATTGAATTTTTACTCAATATATTCTTCCAAAAAGATAAAAAAAAACATAATTACTATAAATATGTTATATTACAATAAATTCTTTATTTTTTTTTTTTTTAAATGTTTACTTAAACATAGAGTTTTACACTACACACCGGAAAAAGCGGCTAGTATAATAAATGCCTGTGCTATATTGAATAATATTTGTATAATCAATAATCTACCTCTTATAAATAATAATGATATCGATGAAAATGATTTGGGCCTTTTAAATTATACTGCTCCGAATGAAACAAACATAATTAATAATTATATTGTAGCAGGAAGACGTATGCAACAATTAATGATAGATTCATATTTTCAGTAATAAAATTAAATAAATAACAACAAAAATTTAAATTATTATTATACATGTATTATTCAGACTTGTTATTAGTTATTAATTACATTTGTATATTTGTATTACAAAATTTAAATATACATATATTAATATATGCATTCATATATAAGTATCAATATAATATTATTTATTCAGACTTATTAGTTATAAATATCACAATTGTATCATAAAACTTAAATTTATAAGTAACAACTACCAATATAATATTAATTATTCAGCATTTAATATTAATTGTTAAATTGTATCACAAAATTTAAAATTAAAAAATATATAAGTAAGTATATATAATTATTCAGACTTCTTAGTTAACAATTGTATCACACAATTTAAATATGCATATATAAATATTATAACTATGAATTAATGTAACAAGAAATAACAAATATAAGTTTCAATCTTTAAATTTACTATTAAATTTAACCTCCATTAAAGCAACTTTCCTTTCTTTTGCAATAACCATTCTTTCTAAAAGCTTTAATTTTGCTGCATAATAATCTTTAAGAACTGAAGTTCTCTCTTCAGTAGCATAACGCATTTTTAATGAATTTTCAGCAGATTTTTTAAATATATCAAGCTTACTAGAAAGAAATTAAACTAAAATTGAGCATCAGTAAAAATGTATTTGATACAGAACTATAGTAAATTTAGGAATATTTGTATCATTTTAAGTTAATCTTAAACAAACAATTTATCAAGAAAATTAACTTTTAGAATTTTTTATACACATTATATGTATATACCTAATACCTTTTTTTATTAGTTAATTGAATAGGTTCATTGATTCGTTTATTTTTATCTTCCAATGCCTCCGATGGTAAAGCTAAGGGTAAAACATCAGTTGACACTATTGTTTCACATTTATTTTCTGATTGAACTAATGGCCTAAGAGGTACAATTAATACAATAAATACTTTTAAGTTACACTGTCTATTTTTTTTTAATAAAAAAATACTTATAAGAATAACAATTTTATCCTTACTGTAAAATATGAAAATTAGAAGAATCTATACAAATTTCATGATCTTCAAATTTAATAACCGGTTCAGCTATATGTGGTTGACCAAAAATAGGTACATCTCCTATAATTTCAACTATCTTCTCATCAATTGGTGTTGAAACATATTTCCTCATAACTACCTCGACCTGTTTTACCTATACTTTTTTTATGCTCAACACTTTTTGTTTTAGCATTACATTTCATATCTGTCCAACACTAACAAATGTTAAAGCAAAAATGTAGTATAAAAATTTGTCACAAATTGAATTCATAATATATGTAATAATTATTAATACTTTTCTCCATTTGTCCGCGGTTTTGGTAGCACCAATCATCGAATTTAGATCAACCGTTATTTTGTTCCACAGATTTTGGGATATTTTATGAGTAAACGTTGAACTAAACTTCCCTTTGTTTAACTCAGGGTTTGCTTCCATAAATTCCACGAGCGATTGTTTCTGTGCCAAAGTAACTGACTTCCCTTTAAATTTCTTTTCCATATTCTTATTATTTGTTAGGTATTAATTTTACTTAAACTTAAAATAATTGTAATTATTACAATATAAATTTTCACTTTAAAGTTTACATTTTTAACATTGTCAATAATAAGTGATAACAACAGATAATATCATGGAAAAAGCAATGATTTTTTTCGTCAATCGAATAGTGTATTGAATATTACTTTATTCGATAATCAACATTCGATAGTCGTTTGAGAATACGATAGATCGAATATTCTGTGTCGAATGAACTTTTATGATCGAATAGTGTCAATCGAACTATTCTATTCGATCATTACTTTCGATGCGTTTGAGAATAGGCTCCCAGGACCAGGGACGGAAGGATAAAGGACAATAAGTGCAGGAATCTTCCTGTGGCGGCATGTGACGATGCAAAACGCACCTTGAACTTGACCGCGCGCAGCAATTTCGAACTCGATTTGTCCGCGCCCGGAAACGATACCACAGCATTTATTCCACATGCGCGTCTCCGGAGTACGTTTGATTTCACAACCTTGGCGGTGGAGGGAGGGAGCGATACCAGTTTTGTATCAGCGAACGATGATGTCACAATGAGACCTTGAGGAAAATATAGTTGCAACGTTTAATATTAATATATCATCGGGTTGCAACGGTTCACACCATACGTAGAATAATACGGTAAAACACGTTTTCGGGGCCGATAGAGGAAAATCGATTTTACAGAACATTTACCGTTGAATCGTTATGGTCATTGTCGTCTATTGCTCCGAAAAGCCAACGGGCCTCGCCGAACGCGTTCGTACCCAATGCATAACGTTATGGTACGTGCACGATATTTTTTTTCATTTAAATCCGTTTGGTATATATTTTCTCAAAAGACCACTGTAAATTATAATATGTGAAAATACATACATCGACTACAAGTTATTTTTGATTTAAATCCTATTGAATAGGTGCAATGTTCATTTGTAACGTAGTCTGCTGGAGATGTGTGGATTTCAGAGCAATTCGATCATCACGTTTTACCGGAGCTGGCTGTACTTTTAAAAACACTACCAACTGCGACTCGGTTTCGAGTGGCAGTGTTTACTCCCCTTGTTCGAACAGGACGCACCCATAAACCAAAACACTCTGATTACTCGATGTTTACATAGTTTTTCGAACATTTCAGAATTGTATTCTAACGACGCGAGCACGCGACTACGCAGTCGAACGGAGAAATATCGTTGCACAAAACCTACATACGTGGAGCACCTGTTGGTCTAGTTGTCCGGGCCCTAGTCGAACGCATTTTATAAAATATGCGTTCTTGTGCTACATGGTGGTTGACGAAATGAATATCAAAAATGATGGCGTGCAAACCGAACAATCGGACGCTGATTAACATACGTAAATTAATTTTTAATTTTCGCCCTCTCCCTCTACTACAGAGAATTATACCTACCGCCGACGCTTCATGGGAGACTGGTCAATCGTGAAACTCCTCAGCGCACGCCGCAGGTAGCGTGCGCTGAAAACAAATTATAGTTTTTTGAATTTATTACCATAATGATACACAAAATATATAACATGTACACACACACACACACACACACATACACGCCCGCACGCACCCACGAATATACGATGTATATCGAATGAACAAGAGTTCACCGTTCTTTTTACGGTAAAAATATTTTTGGCAGCCATATATACCTATGTACATGTTTCCCATCGGATAATGCGCACGATACAACAAGGGTAATAAAAACGGCCAATTCATTTCCTATGCCGTTTTCAAAAACTTACCCGTGTACACTCCACAACATACCGTGGGCTGTGGCGTGGTTTCAAAGTTTGACCCCGGAAGTATAAATATTTCAACGCCGTTCCCCCGGCATTGAAACGAGAACTTTTGTAACAAATAGTATTATTTTTTATAAAACACAAATTAACACGAACTGTTATTCGTAATTTTAGACTTAATTAATCTGCAAAAAAAAAAAAAAAAAATAAAATATATTAACTGTTAAGGGTTAATTTTATTTATACCTACATATAAAATTCGTATGCAGTAGGCTTGACGTTTGAGTGATGCCTTATGCTAATTTTTACGACGATAATCGATTTCATCGTAGTAAGATTTGGCTTCGGAATTTAAAATCGCAATCCACAACACTATAATAATGCACGCAGTCAAATACACTATTTTTTAACTGAAACCGTAACAGTTACGACGGGCCGCCTAAACGTTTGAGTGAAATATACCCGTCGCGTTCTTTCATCCCTCTTCCCGTAGATAATCATATGTATACAGCGCACACGTTTGCCTTGCTTCGTTTACTAACTTTGTTCGTTCGGAAAGCTTTGCTCGCGCCGAACAACCGAGATAGAGCGGACATGGACGTAACCGTGCGACAACACAGTCGGAGTGTTACGTTTTTACACGTGTGCGTACTTACAAACTTCGCACATCTAACCATTAAAAATCAGTGTCCCATTATATCGTGTGATACGAGTGTATACTCGTTGATATGTCACGTATTTTTATAACCCGTTTATATGTGCGCGTACATAACACCATCGTGCGGCGTTTAATGTACGGGAAACGAGAGCATAGAACGGCGTACGCGTAGACATGAGCGTCCGATCGGAAAAAATTTTTTTTTTTAAGAAAACACTAGAAATGAATGTTAAAAACGAGTGGAGAGCTCGGTGAAAAGAGCCCCCAGAAGCGGGGATCGATCGATGTGGCCAGCATACAAATACAAATATTCATACCGTACATGAGTTTCTATTATAATAAAACATTTATCCAATAAATCTATGCATTACATTTTTTTTTTTTTTTTTTTTAATTCACGTATACAGGCTTTTTTATGTATTGCTCGAAGTATACGGAACAGCTGCTGTTCTCCACCCCCTAAATCTCTCTGTAAACGTCACCGATATGTATGCGTTATTATGAAATAACTCGTGTACAGGGTGCGCGCGCTTTAAAAACATAGTCCTCAACGCGCACTACGATCGAATTCTCCGATGGGCGGTCGATCGTAACCCGTAATACATTTCAACTTCATTTTCTGACTTGTTTTTACCTGATACGCGTACCCGCAGTACATTTCAATGTCACTGGATTATATTCAATCATCGTCGGCATAATCCGAATAAATATAAAAACAAATAATTTTGATAGCGATATTTTTGATTTATAAGTTTAATTATTTTTACGAAGAATTACATTATGTTATATTGATTATATCGCATCCTTCGTAAGCTTTACGTGGTAATCACGATAGAAACTTTTAAGAACAATACTTGTACAATTGTATAACCATATTGATGAACATTGTACACTCGCATTTATCCCATGACACGTTTGACAGTCGATACGACATTACTCGTCTGAATGTTGCCTAATATTAAACAATAGTAGATATTTGACTACCGTCAACGGTACATTTTACTTCGAGGACTATTCAATTCTACCATAATTATATAATGCGTATACATAGTTAAATAATTAATTCTTACTTGAAAAATCAAAAATAAATCCGCAATGTACATCATCATACATACATCATGTTAGTGCAATAATTGTTAATACACAAAAGACTGCTAATATTTAAAGCTTGATGTATTTTAAAAAAATTATAAAAACATTTAAAACTAGAATTTATTAATTTTTGATAAAATGAGGGATTTACAGAAATTTCTATGAGGGATACAGCCCCCACATAATAAGGTACATTTTTTTATTTGTTTATTTATTTTTTTTAACAATAAATGGGTGAAAACCTTAAACAATGTAATGTGATAGTATAATACAGATAATACCTAATTGGTGACACACTTTATAAATGTATACATATAAAAATATATTAAACTAAGGGTCATATCAAAATATTAAGATAAATAATAATGAATAGAATAACTAATATTTTATTGAGGGTAGTTAAAATGATAGGAACATAAAAGTGTAATGATATTTTACTTAATAATATAAATTAGATACCAAGTAAATATTAATAACTAGCAATCATTTATTTATTAATCAATTTATTTAATATTTTAGTTATATCTTTTATCCGCATTATTTTTCTAAATAATTTACTATTGGTAGTTTTTTAATCAATTAACATGTTCGATGGAAAGTAATTATGTAAAGTAATTTATATAGAAATATTATTTTATGGATCCATGACCTTGAATTTTGTTTGTGATTTATTGAAAACAGATTTTAATACTTAAACAAAAAATTTCAAAGTGTCTTCTGAACTACTTTTTTATAGCCAATATTTTATTTATAACATTTTTAAAAAAATTGAATATTACCTAGGTAATTTAAAAATATAAATTGTTTATGAAAATTTTATGTTAGTATTAACTTTGAAACTAGTAATTGGTTTAATATTTTTTATACTAATTTCAGTAATTATATTTTGACTCAATAATGTCGGGGTATAATAATTATGAAAATTGGCCGCAAGAATCAACTTCAAATACAGATGAAGAAGAATTGTCGTCTCCTGAAATTGAACAGGATGATAGTGACGACGATTCTGAAACATCAACATCTAGCACGAGTACATCTGCATCCAGTAGTAGTGGTAGTAGTCAGTCAGGCTCTGATTCTGAAAGTACTAGTACTGCAGATGAAGACGAAACTATAT